ATAAACGGGATCGGACCCTGACGTGGGCCATAGAACTGTTTCCTGTTTAAAGCTCGCTCAGTCTGTCCACATTGGAGAAACGTCTTGAATATCATTTACTCCTAGAAGTGCCCCACATGAACATTTAGATTACCTTGAGCTCAGCACCCACACAAAAGAACTTTTAACAGCAAAGACCCCCATGTTCAGTCACCTAAGAAAATCAATCTCGTGTTTGGCAACATCATCAGAAGCCCTCCTGTCCGTTAGCATGGTCATCTAATGTATTGTCTAAAATAGCAATTTCTTATCAGTCAAAGGGGGCACTGTTAATAGTCATGCCGGGAAAGTAGGAAGAAACCAGGATTTTCTCATGCAACCTGGGACATGCGGTCACCCTGCTTGATATCTAACATCCACTAATGACCTGGTTACAGAATCTGCCATTGACCCCTGGAAGTTGTCGTGGGAAGGAGGTTTGTCCCATTGGAACACATGCTGGGTTCCTCTCGCTGCTGATGATCCTGCCAGATTGGAAAGAACCCACACAGTTCTGTTCCTTCTGGGCCTCCAGCCCTTCTACCTTTCACAGGTGCCTCTAAGCATAAGCCTCCGAAGGACTGTCTTTGACAGTCAGAGATGATGCCGATGACTGTCAGAGCTGGCCATCTGAAATTCTGGGGACCTGGGGAGTAAATGACAGCTGTCTTTGTCCATTTCTTCTGCTTGTGCTCCCCTCTTTCAGAGACTTTTCTAGGTAATTCAGGTTAAAGAATTTTCCTCTACTTTTCTTTCAGCTAATTGGGTCACCCCTTCATGCAACTAGACCTTTGTACTTTCTTCAGGGTAGCAGTGTGGGGGTGGTTCATGGCTCAGGTCAACGCAGGACTCTACCACTGGAGACCGAATCACTTTCTACAACCGGTGAAGACCTATCACTGTGACAATGGTAAGTTCTCCGCTTGGTATTTGGGGAAGAAACAAAGAAAGTTTGGGGGCATTTCAAATAATGAAAGAAGAAGCAGGCTTTTGAAATGCAAAGATATAAATTCCTTTCTAGGAAGCAAATTACACCTAGGGAACAAAAGGGAGGAGGGGCGGAAGGTAGTGGGATGGTGAAGAGTTGTTTAATGGATAGAGAAAGATCCAGAAAGGTGATTCTCAGATGTCTTAGATAAAGCCACCCATCTACTCATCAAAGATGAGAGGAAAAGCCAGTGGCTTTATTCTTCTGACAAAGATGCGCCAACCTGGCAGAGAGAGGAGGGAGGAAGGTTGGCAATGGCTGTGCTCACTTCCCGTGCAGCTGAAACTCTTCCCTCACTCACTTTATCAAAAGGCCTTGCAGGAGACTTGGGGCATGTGGTTGTGACAGAATTTGCAGTGGCAGGGAAAAGGGAGAGGAACACAGAGGAAAAGGGGCTGATGTATTATTTACAGTTGGAGAACTCGAACAGAACAGGCTGCGGGGGTGGGCCCGAAGACCTATGTCTGTACGACTGTGGAATAAAGACAAGACATCTCTGACTTCTTGGTGTGCTCCTTCTGCTGCCAGGGCCCCCTGCCAGGGCTGGGCCAGTAGGCACACGCCCCCTCTCTCCACTGCGCCACAGTCTGCCCTTCCCATTTACCTCTCTCCATGGCCCGAAAGGGGGAAAGACCTCGACAGAAAGCTGCCCGGGGCCTCTGTGGGTAAAAATCTCATTAGGTTGGCACAGAGGGCATCTCGCTGGTGGTGACAGGTCTAAGAAGCATGCAGATGGAAGACCCGCGTGCACGCACACTCTCTCCCTTAAGTGACACAGTGGGCAGAGAGGAAGGATGCAGGAAACCGGATCTGAAAGGAACAAAAGGCTGCAGGCTCTGCAGCGAGCTGGGCGAGAATGACGGGAGGACGGCTCAAGGAAACCAGAAGGAAAAGTGCGAAAGCCCAAAGCCAAAGCCACTGGAGAGCATGTGCCTTGGACTTCCCAGCTTCTTCCTGTTTCCAGCTTACATTTGCTCCATATGCTGCTTTACACAGCTTTCCGGGGCCATAATGGGTTTTATTCCATAGTTTTTATGCGAACATGAATGACTCACATCTGCTCCAATACCCAATTTCCTCTCTAATGTCTTCGGCTGTGAGGAGAGAACAGCTTACACAGAACTTGCCAACGACAGGAGCCGCAGAGAAGTCCTGATCCGGGGGTGAGGAAGGTTAGGACCCTCTGTGCATGCATGAGCTGGAAGGGCCTTTGAGAGGGCATGACGTTATGGATGGGGAAACTGAGACCCAGAGAAATGAGGAACTGGCTCAGGAACATCAAGACCAGGGAGGCAGATCTGTTCTAGGGCATGGGAATCTTCCTAATTCCTTATTCCTAATGAGTATACTTGTTTAATTCATCTTATTTCCTGCTATGTTAAATCTTTTGCCAGGAGCTTTTCCTCCCCATATAAGCTGTGATGAGAAAAAAAGTAACTTGGATTAATCACCAACGATAGCTAATCCCCCACTGCGATCAACTGTGCTCTGCATTACTTAGGCTGGTTATTAAAGTTTTAAATATCCGCCAGAGCGCGGGGGACCCGGTGCTAGGTCCTGGAAGAGACCTATGGGGCTGGGTCCTGTGTGGGGACTCACCTGGCTTCCAGATGTTTCAAGTCCCATCTGAAGTGGATTTCAATCCGGATGACAGTTCTTGGTCTGACAACCCAGACTAATATGGCTTTTGGCTGGATCGGGTAATGACACTTGGCAAAACTGGATTCCCTTGACAGCTTCCACAGGCCCAGGGAATCATCTCCACTTGAGTAGAGGACAAAATAAGGATTCAAGAAGCAGGTACCTCGGAAGGCACTCCCTGCTCTCCCAGACATTGCAGTCCCTGTGTGGAGCTGCTGTGGGAAACCCAGGGCCTCAGTTTCCCCAGATGCACCTCAGCCCCTCGAAGCAGGCACCATCTCTAAAGCTTGGCAGTTGTATAACTGTCGACCATCTGTTACCCAGGAGCAGCGTCACAAAGCGCTGAGCAATGGACTACAGGCCAGTGCGGCAGCTCCGGCCTGGAGCCAAGAGCATCTCCGTGGCTTGCCTGGGGGTGTCCTGCAGAGCCTGAGGAGCACACCGTGCCAGCCTGAGCCTGCAGGCCGAGGTGAGGCCCCTGGAAGAGACGCAGAGGGCTCGAGATGCTGCAGGGATGGGTTCTCCTTCTGCTCCCCTCACCCCTCCCATTACAGTGATCTACCTGGATTCTCGCCCAGCCAGAGCGGCGGCTGGGGAGCCTACCCCAACACTTCAGTGTGCAGAGTTCTAATAAAGTTGAGTCCTGGAACCCCCCTCCCTGCCCCCATCCTTCCCCCTGACCCATGCCCCACCCCGCCCCCAGGTTCTAGGTGATGGTCTGAGAGTTCAGCTGAACCTTAGGACAGGCTGCCAAGAGTGTTCAGCTTTTGTGTGCTCTTTGATTTCCATCTCTGTTCCCAACCCCAAACTTTTTATCCACAGCCTGGCCAAGGACTCGTTGGGGCTGTGGGGCAGGACTGCCCTGTGGCTGGCTGAGTAGGTACCAAGCACAGGGTGCTTTTGGCAGATTCCCCCATATCTGACTCCCCTTCTTGGGGGCTCTATTTTACTGGAGAATGATTTCCAGAGTCCTGCTCCACACCTGCCCCACCTCCAGACAGGGTATGGGGCTCCCCCTCTGCCAAACTCTGCAGGGAGAGGCAGGTGGTGGGGGCTGGGGGGCGTGCTAGACAGTGCTAGTTACATCATCCGCGCCTCCCCATCAGTCAGCTCCCCTCCAGCTCTGGCTGGGGACATGAAAATGGCACTGGCATTTTCTGGCAGCCGCTGTCCCCCAGGCAGGACCGAGTTTTTCATACCCCTCTTTGAGGGATCAGATGATCAGAATAACACCAGCACCTCGAATTCAGCTTTCACAACTATTCCCTCATTGTCAGAAGTATTACCATCCCCACCACTGTATAGGTGAAGAATCCAAGGCTGGGGAAAGGCAAAGGACTTGCCCAATATTCACACGGCTGGTAAATCTGACCCAGTCCAGGAACGCCTCGTCCAGTGATAGCACCGTGATTCCAGCCTAGTGGAGGCCTTCACGGGAATCCAATCCCTAATTTGCTCTGCAGCTAGACCCAAATAGTTTGCATCTGCAAAAAGGAGGAGAACGCACTTTCCAAGGGCGTTTGGGAGAAGGCGGCTTTCCCAGGGTCATTTTCCAGGTACACCATGAGTTGGCACAACTTTGGACCCCTGCTTCCTTACAGGCACAGAGCCCTGATGCTTACAGGGAGAGAAAACTCTTAAGGGAGATAATTGCGCCTTAATTTTAAAACAGATTTCTTTAAAGTTAATTTTAGACCTGCTCAGCGTTCCATCGTTCCATTAAGCGGAAAAAGTTGCCAGGCACCTGCAGGCAGGCGTAGAAACACCCTGGAGAGCTGGCCGAACTCGGCCTCGGGCCTGAGCGGCCCAGGACACCGAACCATGGTTGGGGGAGCAGCACCGCCAGCGCTCGCGCCCCACGGTCCCACGGTCCCACGGTCCCACGCCGGCTCCCGGAAAGGAGGTGCATTGGGGGCGGGCCCCGGGAGTGAGCGCCACGTGCAGCCCCTGCGGCGAGCGGAAAAGTCCTCCCAGGCTCCGCTCTGCCAGGCGCGGGTCGGCCCCGAGGTCCCAGCTGGCCTCTGGGGTGGCGGGGCTGCGGGGGCGCAGTTCCTGCCCGGCCCCGCCCCAGCCCAGGCCGGCCCGGGAGCTGCGTGCGGGGCTCGGCTCTGGCGGCCCCAGAGCAGCACGGTGCGCCTCGGTCGGCGGGCGGCGGTAGCGCCCCCTTGCAGAGCCCCGCTCGCTCCCGCCCGGGCTTCCTCGGAGTCGCTCTGTCGGGCCCACGCTCTCCCTTCGCTCCCTCTCCTCCCTCCTCCCTTGTGTTCCTCCCGGGGTGCCGGGCACAGCTTCGGATTCCTCCCTCCCCGCCTCTCCAGTCCGTTTCCCTCGCGGCGGCGGCAGCGGGCGAGGCTGCGGCGGCGGCTCGGGGAGCATCTCGGCTGTCACTGCGCTTCTCCGGCGGGAGCGGGTGTCCAGCTTGGCTGCCCTTCGGTCCTTCCCTGCCGCTCTGCGCCGCGAGACCCCTGCCCCTGCTCCCTTTTCTCCGAAGCGGGCGAGGCCCCTGCCTAGCCGCTTCCCGCCGGCCCTGCACCGGGATCCCGGGGCCGCGGCTCTCGAGGACTCCTGCCCCTCCGACCCTGACCGCCAGGGGGTGCCCCAGGGGCGTAGCGCCGCGGAGAAGGCGAGGCAAACCGGACCATGCGGCGTCTGACTCGCCGCCTGGCGCTGCCGATCTTCGGGGTGCTCTGGATCACCGTGCTGCTGTTCTTCTGGGTAACCAAGAAGAAGTTGGAGGTGCCGCCGGGACCTGAAGTGCCGACCCCCAAGGTACGGGCTTGGGCGGCGTGGTGGGCGCGGGGCACTGGTTTGCAGGAGTGCGCGCAGCCCGCGCGCGGGGCTCGCGGGCTCCCGGGCAGCCGGGGAGAGGGTCTGGGTGCCGCGAGCAGGTAACGGGGCGCCGAATGCGGCCACAGGGCGGTATTTCTGGATTTTGAGAAGCTCTAGGCACCGCGGGACCCGCGGAGCGTGGGAGTGGGTGTGGGTCGCGGGCGCGCGCTCGCGGACAGAGAGGGGCGCCGAACTTGGGCAGCGCGCGGGGGTCCCGGGGCGGAGGGGGCGCTGCAGACCAGCCGCCCAGGGGTGGCGGTCCGTGGACGCCGCGGCGAGTCGCGGGCGGTCGGGTCGGGGGCAGGGCAGGCGGGTGCTGGCGCCCGCGAGAAGTCTGGCCGCGGCGCTGACCTCCTTCCTTCCCGAAGCTGCCAGGCCCGACCAGGGGAGGCCGGAGGCCCGGGGTGCGCGGTGCGCGCGTGTGCATCGCGGGCGAGCGCGTGCAGCCTCCCGCAAGCTTGCTGCCGGGGCCCACCGGCCTGTCGCCACCCGGCTTTCTAATTGTCCCCGAGCTCTCCAGCTGCGTGGGAAGTTGAATGTGCCCTGAACGCCACTGAGGAGCCTGTAAAAGCAGACGCTTTGGTGTTGGTGGGGAGTTGAGGAAATGAGGATCGAAGTGGCTTTTCCAACTCCTGCCTAGCCGGTTCCTCCCAGCGCAGGCAGAAGGTTCTCCCTTCGGGCTCACTCTTACCTGTCATTCGGAGCCCCCATTTCTCCTGCTCCTCTTTCACAGACCTCGCCACGGGACACAGAAGGAGGCCTGGGGGTTCCGGGCCAGGCAGGCATCATTTATAAACGGGGTCCAGAGCAGCCCTCCAGGGACTGGGAAAAAGCCCTTGGAGGAGGTTATGGTCTGAAGCAGGAAGCTAATAAAAGGGGGGAGGGAGCGAGAGGGGAGTCTCCCCAGTAAGTTCGGTACAGAGGACCCACTCTGTGTCTGGTACACTGTGGGTGCTTCTTCGTAAGTCACTGTGTAAGTTGGGTGGTATCCTAATTTCATAGATTAAGAAGCAAGTTCAGTCTTTGTACCTTGCCTTAGTCACTCTGATTCGAACTCAGACCTCAGATATTCAGAATCTTTCCACTATATTAAGCTGTATCTTTCAGATCCCCTTTTAGATAAGTGTTCTGGCATGTAGGTTTTGGGATCTCGCTAATGCCTAGTTTATTGGTAGTGTGCTGTGTGCTAAATAGTGTGTTAGGGGCTATGGGTACAGAGATGCAGAACTTGCTCTCTGGGCATAGGAAATTTGCTCAGAAAGGGCCCAGGACCCTCCAGTTTGCAGAGGGCCAGCAGGGTCATGTCTCTGGGCCTCATGGGAGCCTGGGGCCTTCCTGGAGGAGGAGGATGTAACAGAACTGAGTTGAGAAGGTTGAACAGTAGGTTTGCCAGGAGGTAGGGAGGGCATTCCAGGTAGAGGTTAACTGTACCCAACAGGCTCAGAGGAATGACACAGCAGGTTGTGTGAGTTTGACATAATTTGAGCATAGACCACGTGGCTGATGGCATGAATGAGACTGAGGGCAGGTGGATAAGGGTCGGATTGAGTAGGACCTTGTGGGTGCTAGGGGCCCTTGGAGGGGTAGCAAGCAGGGGAGTGACGAGATCAGACTGGTGATTTCAAACAGCCTTTGGAGCACTGGATCAATTTTCTCACCTCAGACCTGCCTGTAGATCTGGAGAGCTTTTCTTCTTTTTCCCCCAGGGTGGGTCTGCTCCTTGTGATGCGGTTAATGAAGCCTGCAGGGACATGAACTCTCTCCTGTTTTGCGTTGAACCTCATTACCTTAAGCTTACTTATTCTTAGTTTACACCAGGGAGCTGGGACAAGAAATCTCTATCCCTCTTTGTGCACTCTGTCTTTCATCCTTACCCGCCTGTCCTTCTAGTGTGCGCTGAACACACAATTATCGAATGCAGCTGTGTGCCCGGCTCTGTGCTAGGTTTGAAGGTTGCTGGGATAAGGACACTGGGTCCCTGCCCCCTTCCAGGGAGGTGGGAAGCTTCACAAATTCCTGGTTGAGGCAGAATTACAAACAAATGAGTAGTGGGTGGGGTGGAGGGAGTAGTCTGATATTGGAATTCTGGGCACAGTGCTGTGCAGGAATGGAAGAGGGGGGTCTTCTGGTTTTGACCCCTTGCTTTTTGTCTTTATTGCTTATTTCTGTTTTTCCCCCATTTTCTGTGTTCTTTAGAAACACAAATTCTATAGACTTCTAAAATGATGATTCTTTTTATTATTAGGCACCCTTATTAGTATATTTCTCCTTCCTGTTTTTCACCTGTTTGTCTGACTTCACATGTTCACATATATTTGTTGTGTGTATTTGTGTCTGGCGCACTTATCTGGAGAAAGAGATGGAGAGACAAAGAGTCCTTGGCGCCAGAACGATTTTATTGCCGTGACGGATCTATTTCTGAAATTTGCACATCTTGCCCAGAGGAGTGTGGTTGGTTCCCAGACCCGAGTGCGTGTCAGAATCCCCTGGAGAGCTCGTTGAACACACGAGCTTTGGCGGTTATTGCCGTGCTTAGGATTCTGTGGGTCTAGGAGAAGGTCCCAGAATCACTGTCTTTACAAGTGTTCCATGTAAGTCGGAAGCCGCCTATTAATGGATAACATTTGGAGCTAGAAGAAGAATAGGAAGTATATTGATAGATTTTTTTTTTTTTTTTTGCAGTTTAGCTGGCCCCATGTAAATATGGCCGAGTGAGTTCCTTCTTCTGGAGCTCCTCAAGGACCACGCTGGCATGAGCGTGCGTGCCCATGTAAAATAACAGTAGCTAGAATTTGTGTAGGGCTTCACACGTTCACAAACTCTAGTTCATGCATATTAGCTCATTTATTCTCCACAACAACTGCATGGGGTGGATAGTACTTTTATGCAGTTAAGACTGGACGATGAAATTTTACAATCGGCCCAAGCTAACAAGGTTATTATTAAGTGGCCACATCAGAGCTAAGAATGGAACCCAGATCCCTTAGGGAACTGCCCACTCAAAGTCTCAGTCCATGGTGCTCACTATGCTGTGTGGACTGCCTGGGTCTACACTTGTGGGTGTTGGGGGGAGGCTGGGGTTTTTATAGCATGTGCTTCCCAACCTACTGTCCAGCATTTCCATGGCTCAGCCCTAGATGCTTGCCTTTGGAAAGCTCTGGGGAAGGCAGAGGGTGTTGGTGTACTTTGTAGGGGAACCACCTTGGAGGGAAGTCTGGCTCTGCCCTTGGAGGAGACCTGCTGGGGCAGAGGAGGATCCTCTGACTGGACACAATGTGGTGGGGAGGGTCCCCTGGGAGGCTGCATCCGACGGTTGGAGCACCCCTGGTTTAGGAATCATTGCCAAGATAGACATTGTTTCCTCAACAGCAGAGATTCCGATGGGACATTTGTCTATTGTAGGGAAAAAACTCAGTTTTGAGCTAGTGCAGTAACCCTGGCTTTTCCTAAGAAATAGTCCTGGGGGAGCTCTTGCCTTGGGTGTGTGGAACCTTCAGGAAATTTTCATCTTGCCTGGGCACCTTCCCACTGTGGGAGAGGGTGTCAGCTTATTTTCCAAAGCACGAGCAGTGGGCCCCCTTCCTTTAAACAATTTAGAGAGGTCAGGGGATTGGTGGAGGGACCAGAGACTGTGGCCGGGGCTTCTGGGCCCGGGTCCCCTCTGTGTAGCTTCCGGGTAGCAAGCTGCCTTCCCTGGGGTCTGGGACAGTCTCTTATTCCCAGACCCTTCCTTGCCTTCCCTCCCAGCTTTGGGAAGCATCCTTATTCACCTAGTGATGGGATCTCTAAAGTGGGCCTGATAATAAAATAAAACCCATGCCTTGTCACAATCCAGCTGATGTAGAGAAGGCATGCTGCACTCCTAGTTTAAGGAAATTAATTGGATTTCTTTCTTTCTTTCTTTTTTTTTTTTTTTTTTAGTTCCAAGAAGGGCTGGTTCTATTAATAGCTCAAGTAAAGATTTCTTGAAGTTTGACTTTTTAATGTTGATTTGATTCTTTTACTGCACCCCCAAATTCTGCAGAGCTCTAATTCCTAATTGAAAATCATAGAACAAGTTGGATGTCTTAATTCAAACTGTATTTCAGTGATAAATACTGTACCACTAAAAATATGTGAAACATGTTTTTATTTCTTCTCTTCCCTATCATTTGTTTGCCATTTGGAGAATTATACAATAACTCACAGAATTAAAAAAAAAAAAGGCAGCAAATTTGTCTCTGACTTCCAAGAAACTAAATTTAGTCCAGGGGCTTAGGGCTTAGTAAAAGCAAAAGAATTTGAGGCCTGAGGGTACTTTTTGAGGAAGGTACTGGAAATGTGAAGGCTTTGAATAAAGTGCCTCAGGCCCATATAGATGTATTTGTGCTCTACTAGAAATAGAGCAAACACTATTAGGCTTGTCTCTCCGTAATATTTGCATACCACAAATGCCTGGAGTATGTGACACTGTTATTTTATTCCCCATTTAGTAGATCATTTCTCCCATTTAAAAAAAAATTATGAATTTTAGAAAGAGCGACCCTATTAATCTGCGGATACTCAGTGCATGCATGTTGGACTCTGTCCAGGGAATTTTGACTCTGGCACGACCAGAAGTAGCCCACTGTCAGATGAATGTTCATCCTTTCATTCATTCCTGTGTGTGGATGCCTGTGTCCTGCACTGGACTGTTTTCCCCCATCGTGGAGGTTCCTAGAGCAGGTGGAGGGTAGTGTTGCTTCGGGGTCCAGCAGGGGTCGCTATAAGAGGATGGGAAATAAAGTAGCAGGTTGGACTGTCAGGTGTCCAAAAATGGCATATCTTTGCTTTGTAGATATGAACAAGCTGCTTTTTTTTTTTTAAAACCCTGCCCTCTCCCCCAGTCCCCCAAATCCAGGCCATTAGGCTGGTGAGAATCTCTTCACCCTGGGCTGTTTTTGGCCTGCCCAGGTTGTACC